CGGCGGCGGTCTCAGCGGCGGTCTCAGCGACGGTCTCAGCGACCGCCTCGCCCGCCGCCTGAATCCGCGACCCCCTTTTTCGCCTGGCCCGGGTAACGTAACTCTTGCCCGATACCCGGCGATAATCGGGAGCCGCGGCCTCCGCGCAGACGAGCGGCAAAGGGCCCCTGTCCTTCCTGAAATAAGCGCTCCTCGCGAACTCGCTCTCCCCCTCGAACAGATTGAAGAACGAGCACAACAAATTGTACACTATCTCGTGCTTGTTGGACGAGACCCGCGCGTAAAGAGTGTAGGCCAACGCCTGTTTGTACAGTTTTCCGAACTCTGCCAACACAGCGTCCCTGTACTCGGCCGGTTTGATCCTCAACATCGTCTCCCGCATCTCCAGCAGCGACATGTTCCACCGATACTTGTTCTGATTCGTCGCGAGCGAGTAAAGGCGATGGAAATCCGTGATCACGCTCGGCGTGTAGTAACACGTGGGGTTCTTGGTCGCGAACAATTCCGAGTCGAGGAACAGATTGCCGTAAGATGGCTCGGGCCTCTTGTGAAGGAATATGTTCTCCACGATATCGTTTATTACCGATCGTATCGCGTCGTCCCTTATGCACCGAGCAATGTACTCCTCGATCATCCTGCACGAGTCGCTCGGCTCGTCCCCCGCGCAGCCCCAGAACCTGAAGATGAACGGGGAGGGGGAGAGGACGGGGCTGGTTACCAACCTCCAGAACTCGGTGGAGACGCACGGCTCGCGCGGCAGGTACCACACCTGCACCTTGTTTATCTGCCCGGGCAGGATCACCCCTTTCGTCTTGTTGAAGTAGAAACACGTTATCGGCGACTTCTTCAGGGGGAATATCCTCGGCCGGTAATCGGCCTCCCTCCACTCGTACAGGATCACCCTGTTCCCCTTGTTCTCGAACACGATGTCCTTCTCCGCCCTCCTGTTCAACTTGCCGCGAAACGTCACGCTCCAAACGATCGGCTCGCCCTTCCCCCCCTCCTCTCCCCGCGACCTCCCCTCCCTCCACCGGCACTCTCCGTAGTCGCTCTCCATAGAGAACTCCCGATCCTGGATCTTGAGGACGACCGCCTGCTCCAGATAGCACTCCTCGCAAGGGGTGCATTTCTCCTTCTCCCTCTCCATCTCCCTCTCGTACTCCTCCTCGTCCTTCTCCTCGTCCTCCTCCTTTATCACCTCGTCGCAAGCGTAGACGGTGATCGTTGGAAGTTTCGGTATCACCTCCTCCTTCGGCGTCGTGTAGTTCTTGATCGCCAATCCCCCGGTGTACGGCTCCCTGCTAATTAACATCCCTATCTCCCTCGACAACTCCTTCTTACGTTTCATCAGGTATTGGCTACGTTTCCACAACGATTTCTTGGACGACATGCAAACGAAATCCTTCTCCTCCTCGATCAACTCCGGCAAACCGACGTAGGTCAATTCCGGTGCGATGTTCATGTCCTTTTTCGTCAACGCGAAGTGGATGTCCGGCAAGCAGGGGACGGAGGGCAATTTCTCGGCCACCTTCCAGAACTCTGGACCGCCTCTATACTTGTCGGGCACGACGGGCACCGGCAACGAGGCGCAGTCGATCAGATTCCTCATCTCGACCAACGGCCGTATCATCTCGCACGAATAATTCTGTATCTGATCGATGGGGTGGCGATCGAGCTTGATTCCCATGCGCTTGCACTGCTCCTTCCGCCTCTCCAACCATCCCTTCCAATTCACCAGGCGGGGATCCTCCTGTATCGACTCTTGGGGCGTTATGAAACCGTCCCTGGTCGAGACGATCGTCGTGAACTGCTTTACCCATTTCTTCGGCTCGTCCGATTTCCCGATCTTGCGCGCATAATCCATCTTTCCTCTTCCTCCTCTTCCCGCGTTTCCGACACTTTGTCAGGAACAGAACGAGAGAAACGCTCCCA